GGGAAAGCATCAGGGAGACATCTGATGCAAGCCAGCCCTCTGCTTAAGCTCTTCTTTGAGCATCCATCTCCTGGCCACTGCCAGGAAGGAGGATACTGTGGGAGATGGGCCCCCATCTGACCCAGTGTAGATGTTCTGTGCAGAGTTCCCTCCCTGCAGTGCCGTGCTGCCTGCGGTAAACACCCCTCCACAGCTCAGCAAGGATAAAATACTTACCTACCTTCCAGGAGCTTTGTGAAGATTACCTTGGTGTCTATAGAATGCTACGTGAGCACCAAGCGTTATAGCAAGCTCCCTGGGTAGAATTCCTCACAGATTGCGAACTTGTGTATATAATGTTTGGTAGATGCTGTGAATCCAATTCTCAGGCTCCTGCTATAATTCATCCCCTCTTCCTGCTGCTTCCAGAGGAACAGAGGAGGCTCAGCACACATGTTAAAGAGGCCCAGTGGGTACGTGACTGCTGAGGTGCTTCAGATGGTTGGTGGGTCTTCTTGTATCTGGCTTCTTGGTGAGCTGATTGGGCAGAATCTTCTGCTAGCAAAAAGCTAGTGAAGCTAACTTGAAACTTAGTCATGGGTCTAGCTTCAAGTCAGCAATGCCAACACAACCCTAACGGCATGTGAACACCACCCACTGCTCATCATGGGTGGCTCAGGCCCTGTCATTGCTGGACCTAGCTGAAATGCAGACTTGAGAAGACCAAAGATGGAAACACAGTGACAACCTTCCTTTCTCTCCATCTTGGAACCACAATGGCTTGCTCAGCTTAAAATCAATGGTGTGCAAGTCCCAGGGCCAGAAGAGCCATTTCCTACTTGTGCTGGTGTGGATGGCACAAGGTGCAACCAGATGGTGCTTCGACTCCTCTTCTCCTGGGGGAATGCCATCCCTCTGGGAGCTCATCAGGAAGCCGGGCCGTGAGCTGTGCCAGTCCAGAGCATGGAGGCCATGTGTTATGGTTTGAGAAACCCGTAACAATTTATTGTCGTTTAGACAATTATTCTATCATATGATGACCCCTCCCCACCCAGGATGGGGAATCGGGAAAACAAGGAAACACGAGGCTTGGAATATGAATAGATTTAATAGGATAAGACTAAATAATTAACAATAATACTGAAGAACCGGTATTGATCCTGATACTAATGTGAGATATACAAGAATTATACTCAGCCAATTCTATCAGAGGAAGCTGTGCTCTTCAGCAGGGACAGCAAACGTGAGATTCAGGAGGAAGGGAAGGGCTCAGGGGTCCGTCCGGCACCAGGGCAAGAAGTTGTCTGGACTTCTGCCATCAATGGAAAGAGAACTACATAGCGAAATTTCTAATTTATATTAAATGTGATGGTCGTGGTATGAAACAGTCCTGTTGGCCAGCTCGGGTCAAGTGCCCGGGTCTGTCGTCTCCTCATCCCTGCACCTGGCGAGGCTCAAAAACACTGAGAGCTTGAATCCCACAGAGCCTAGCCGGCTATAAAGTAAATATTTTCTGGAATTCGGACACTAGGGTCCTGTTGGCCAGCTCGGGTCAAGTGCCCGGGTCTGTCGTCTCCTCATCCCTGCACCTGGCGAGGCTCAAAAACACTGAGAGCTTGAATCCCACAGAGCCTAGCCGGCTATAAAGTAAATATTTTCTGGAATTCGGACACTAGGGTCTTCCAAAAGTGCAGTTTCCCCCAGCATTAGAAGAGAAACCGGTTCTGCGCCGCCCAAACCGGGACACCGCGCCCGGCAGCTCTCCTCAGGGACGCGCCCCTGGAGAAGCCTCCGCCGCCTTGTTCGGGCGAGAGGGGAAGAAACCTCAGGGCCACCCCGGTGCCCACAACGGGGCCGCCCCGGTGCCCACACCTCTCCCCGGTGGGCCGGGGGTGCCCCCCGGGCCGGCTCTCCTCAGCCGCCGGGCGGGCGGGGGCCGGCTGGGAGGCGGCCCTAGGGCGGCGGGAGGCCGCTCCTCCTTCCCTCCCTCGCCCGCCTCCCGCCCGCCAGTCCGAGCGGAGAGGCGGCAC